TTAACCCGTTCGGCCATGTAATAAAAGTCGTTTCGGCCATATATTAATATTATATTAAAAGAGAGTTTGTTATATTTTTTTCTTTGTTAATTTTATATCTTTTAAAAGTATTTGTATAATACTTTTAGAAATTATGTATGTTGATTAAATAATTAGTAGTATTATGGTCAACACTGTAAGTACTATTTGCAACCATTTGAAAGTTAATTAGAGTTGATTGCAGATAACACATACTATTATTTTTCATAATTGCTGTGATAATTAGTCTACATTGTTTGCCTTTGAAGTTGTAATTTGGAATATTTCAAATAAAATTATGTTTTTAAAGAGTGTTATAGGTACCAAGCTGAGCACAAGCTTATGCAAACTTTCACTGTTTCAAAAAATGCTAAAATCATATACTCAATTTGAGTCATTCCTTTGATATTCCGTCAGATACCTATAAAAGCTGAAGCATGTCGATCAGTCATTTAAATATACTTTGTGATGTCGTTTCCTTGTGTTCACTGTGAACAGGAGGTTCGTCCTCGACAACATGCCTTGCAATGTGATACTTGTCATGGGTGGCAGCATCGTCTGTGCAACACAGGTTAGTATAGTATATGATATTTTTTTTTCAATTTAACATCCAAAAGTTATAGATTTTATCATATTTAAATAGACAAGCACTGTGCAATATCAGAATAAGTGCACATCCCCTAAAATTAGAGACGGATATTTATGCAAAAAAAACTATATATATAAATCACAAAGATTAGGTAACAAATGCACCTGGGATAAAGTTGAAGACGAAGAACATTTTATATGTCAATGTCCCCATTATAATCTCTTCTTTATTTTTTGTTCGTATTTGCTTAAATTTCTTTATATTTTAGGTGTTTCACTTGTTGATTATAGAAGAATGATGAACAATGAGGTAGATATCTTCTTCGAGTGTTGTCAGTGGTCAGTCTATCGCCAGTCCGTGAGAACCAACAATGATGTTGAAGGTAATTTAAAATACTATAATTTGAATTACATTTACAATAATTGATAAGAAGAAATCATTACTAATCAACAGCGTATAACAAATTAAAATATTATTATAGAAGACAGAAAGAAGATCCTTAATTTGTGTAACGGCTGGTTTATTAGATGTCATTTATTTATATGATATATAGATGTAAAATTCCGTATTAAATGTGTATTTACGTTCTGCTATGTGTATATACTGCAACTTTTTAACATTTCTTTTCTTATCCTGCAGGATGGCATAGACGCTTCAATGTCAAAGCTGGACGGGCCTTCACTTCTACAGGATAGTTCCTGCCTTCCGTAAAGAAGCCGAGACAGAAAAGCTAACCCACAGACTCGTTAGTGATCAGCAAGTGACCCGGTACCAACGAGAGACCTATCGCCAGATGCAGGGTAAACTGGTTGACTTATGGGACCGGCTAGACGCCAACACACTGAAGACCTCAGAGTTCCTCAAACAGATTGGGTATATGTACGCACCACCTGTTCCTGGTCCAGCAGACATACCAGACTCCGACTATTCTGACTCCGACTCCGACTCCGAGTGAATGATAACTTATCTTGTGTTTGTGTACTTTGTGTTTGACAATCAATATACTATGTCAACTGATTTTATTGGTTTGTATATGTACTCTGTATTGTGTGCTATGTATATCTTTCTGTATGTTTCAGTGCTTGATATTGCCAATCATGTAATCTAGTGCTTTATCTGATTTGAATGCAATTAAAAATTGTTCTTGTTATGTATTGTTAATTGATGATCAGAGTGACCAATAAAGATATGAAATATTTGTATAGTCTTTATTTATTAAATTTGATTTCTTTATCAATACTTTTCATCATGTTTATCAGTACTACTAGTAATGCAATACCACACGTCTACAGGACACATAAAAAAACGAAAAAACAAACAAACAAACAAAAATTATATTTTCCTTACACTGCATGTTCACCTTCAATTACCTTTATAACGAAAGTCTTATCAAATAGGATAAAGAAATGGCTACTTCCCACTTAGTTCTTTCTATGAAAAGAAAATAGTATAATGGACCGAAACAACCAAGGCCGAAACATAAGCATCTTCTCCAAACTTTTCTCCTAGAACATTACTTCTTGAGTTCTGATTTGAATCTGTTGTACAAAGTATCTAAATTCCCGTGATTTGGCTGCTCATCAGTAGATATCAGGGGTAATATTGGTCTGCGAGCTGCACTACATGCCTCGTCTGTGACCGTTACAGCTTCTGACCTAGCAACCCCCGCTTCGGGTTCTGTACGTCTTTCAAATGCCAAAATGATCACTAATTGACTCAACTTTTCATTCAAAGATGAATACTGTTGCTCTTGCTCAGCAAACCTTGCATTCATACGACCTTCTAAATCATGAAAATCGTCTTTTTTCTTTGATGACCTTTTCTTACCGCTACGGTTTTGTTTCTTTTCGTCCGCTATGTTGGAAGTTTCTGACATAACAGAAGCGTTTTCTTCCTCTGCTACTATATCAGAGCCTTCACTTCTCATTCTGCCATGTTTTAAATCAAAAACTTGAACATTAGTTCTGTTGTTCAAGAACGTCTGAACTCTTTCGCGCAGAAAATAAAACTGATTTGGTAGGGTGACGCATGCGTCTTGGTGACTATGATTATATGATTAAGAAGAGAGTCATCGAGACGTTTTAATTTTTTGCGAGTCTGAACAGTCAAAGGGAGATAAATCATATATGTAAAGTATCAGGTGGTAAGTAGAAAATGAATGAAATGAGATCCCCTGACCTATGAACGATAGATTTATTTTATTTTTGACACATAAATATTGATAAATTAAGAAATTGTTTGCTTTTAGTGCAATTATACCATTTTGAGGATTTTTAAAGAATTTTGCTTTTAGCGCAATTTTACCATTTTTGACGATTTTTAAAGAATTGCAGTTTTCTGTAAATATTGCAAAACTAAAATTTTAATTTGCATTTGATTTGGAATTGTGGTATTCTCTTTTATAGGATTTATATAAATGCTAGGAAAAGATATCATACAAGAACCAGCAATGGGCATTTAGTTTAATTCTTGCACAATTTAGGGCAAATCGTACTTTCGTGTTAATTTGACCTGTTAATACAATTTGTAATGCATTTCTGTTATTCAATGTTTACTTATTTTGTGTTATATCTCGTCTTGCAATTTTTAATATGTTCCGCCTTTGATAAGTATTTAGTATGACGATAAATTTTCACTTCTGTACTCGTACTATGAACAACAAATCTTTTTTGTAAAAAATGTTTCGGTACTCCTAACAACAAAATTATTATATTTAAATTTACCTGTGTACGTTACTTTATTTAACGCCATTTTGTCCTAGCTTAAAGTTGTCTTTTTTGACATTGATACATCTTTTTTATTCATATTGTGTCATAGATCAAACTCATTCGTTCAGTGTATATTTACTTGTTTGTGAATATGTCCTTTTGATCGAGTTAAGCCATTTCAATTGATTTTTCATTGTGTGTCTTTTTATGTTGTAATAATACACCACTGTTTCAGGTTAGGGTGAAGGTTAGTGCCTGTTAAAACGTTAAAACTCGCTGCATTTGTATGCACCTGTCCTAAGTCAGGAGCCTGTTGTTCAGTGGTTATCGTTTGTTGGTGTGGTTTATAAGTGATTCTCGTTTCTCGTTTTTTATATAGATTAGACTAGATTGGTTTTCCTGTCTGAATTGTTTTACACTAGTCATTTTGGGGCCTTTTATAGCTTGCTGTTCGGTGTGAGCCAAGGCTCCATGTTGAAGGCCGTACTTTGACCTATAATTGTTTACGTTTTACACATTGTGACTTGGATTGATAGTTGTCTCATTGGCACTCATACCACATCTTCTTATTTGTATATGCTCATTCTTGACCTTTGAAGTAGATTTAACGAAAATTGCTCCGTATGACTTATTGATAACCTGGCAAAATAGAAAGTACAGATAATAAACCTTCGAATGATATATGGTATAGCCATATGTTAGGTGAGGGCATTAAAAGTCGTTAACTAAGTGTCTTTTTGCTTTTTTAAAAATGTCACTCTACTATACAGCACAGGTGAAATTATCGGGTTTTTTCAATACATTTATATCTATATTGAAAGCATCATTAGCTAAATATGATTATAAAATTTAGAATCTAGGATCAAATTAAACCATCACATGCTTAAAAGAGAGGGGAAAGATACCAGAGGGACATTCAAACTCATAAGTCGAAAATAATAGTTACCTAATTTCATCGAAAACGGACCGAATAATTGACAGTGCATAATTAAATTATTTAATTATTGTAAATTGTGTAGCTTTGAATAAACACCATAGAATTGTTTTATAGAATTATGGGGTAAATTTATATTTTTGAATTCCAACTTTTCAAAATAATGATTTTCGTAAATAATTCACCGTGGGATCAAAACTGTATCATATCCCTTAAGCACCCATCAATTATCAAATTGTATTCTTCCGTAACTATAGAGTAAAGTGTTTTTATTGTACTGGTTCTTTGGTTCCACTGATCGATATTCAAATTGGGAACATGATATTTTTTCGACCACAGAAAATGTTCTTGTGGTATCTTTGACGGTAAATATATTTAATTAACTCCTTATTTTTGAGTCATGGGGCTGTTTGGAGCTTGATATTTTGTATAGACATCTTTCTATAATTATAAAAGAATGTATGTTGACTCTAACAGTTTTGGTTTGTCTCTGTCGTTGAGTTGCTGTCTCATTAATGTATATCCTTATCTTCTTTTATTCAAACCCAAAGGATTGACTTTGGTACAGAAATATTGTCATCTCTGGACTTCTCCCGTCCGACAGTAAACCCTTGCTAAACATTTTTTGCGCCTTTTGCGAAAACAATTGTAGATGAAGAAAAACTTATTAAAGATAATTATCTCGGTACATTTATTCCTTATGTGTTTCACTTATATCTGTGAGTTTAACTTTGATATAAAAATATTAAAGTTTTGTATTTGTTAAAGACTTTTAATGACAACAGACACTTCACAACTCTGAAGTGTAATACGGAATAGGGAACATTTTTATAACATAAAGAATTATATTTTGTTACAATATTTTGCAAACATCTTCACACTCCGCCAATGTTTTAAACAGATTACGAGAAGTCTTACATCCACCATGATGGAAGAATCTCTTACAGGACATGGTGGAACGATCAAATGTATAACTGTGTAATAACGCTCCTTCAAAGCAGCTTTTTGTCAGTATCTCTGGAAGCTCTAAACAAACTGGAATATAAAAAGGACAAATTATATCATTGGATCAAGCTCATATCTTGAATAAATCTTTTCATATTTTGCTAATCATTTTTACTGAATAAGGCCAGACGCTTAAACTCTTTATATTTTCATCTGAATTTTTCTGAAAAACTAAAGATGGTACATTCTTTCTCTTTTTTGATGTGTTAACCTTAATCTGTAAAATGGTAGGATAGAACTAAGGTATTGTAGCATTGTATGATTTGGGCATTTGAGAAAATAGAAATATCGATAATTCCTAAACAAGAGAGGACTGAAACAACACATCAACACATACGAAAATTGGAAGCCACTAACAATCCGAACACTTACGAAGTGTTATTTAAGAAGAGGACAGACTTGAGATACTATTGAAGAGGTAAATCAAAATATATAATATACCGTTTACTTCTAAAGAAACTTAAACCTTCTAAATATTACCTGTCATTCTTTCACAATCAATTCGTCAACCAAATAACGGTTCTAATTTTGACAATATCCTTAAGACCCTTTATGATTAAATATCATATGACGTAGTATTCAAGTATATTTATAGGTTTCACAACTAGTGAGAGAGGCGAATAATACCAAAGGGACATTCAAACTCATCAGTCGAAAATAAACTGAAAACGCCATGGTTAAAAAAGAAAAAGACAAACAGACAAATAACAGTACACAAAACAACATAGAAAACTAAAGACTGAGCAACATAAACCCGCCAAAACGGGGGGTGATCTCAGGTGCTCCGGAAGGGTAAGCAAATCCTGCTCCACATGTGGTACCCGTCGAGTTGCACATTGTACAAACCCGGTGATTTGTCTAATTCGAAAGTTCACATTCGGGGGAAGGGGACGAGATTGTAGTTACGACAATTGGAACATATCCGTCGTCATCTGTGAAACAGTTATCTAATTTAAATATAATAATAAACGAGCCTTCGGCGAGTTTATTATTACTTTTGAAATGAAATAACGAGAGTTGATATCAAGCGATATCCAATTCTCATGAGTTAAACCTATTTCTCTTATGGTCAATCTCTCATTGCGTTAAATACAAAATTCCGCGAATCGTTGATCTAGTCTTTTGCACCTACCAGTATGGCGCCATATGTCCTGTTCCGGCGTCAAACTTTAACTGACATCTGACATTTGAAAACTTTTTGAACGCTTCAGAATGTTATAAAAATTGACAAAGAGAAGATTTTCAGGTAAAAGTGGGGGTGTTTAGTATACTATATTTCCGTTGTCATGGACGAAATGAACATCGTCTAAACCTTTGAAATGCACCAATGACCTCAGTAACGTGTAGCCAATGGAAATGTCATAATATCGTTTCATGATGCTGGACAAGCCAATCAGATTAACGCAGTTTTCTTATAACTTTCTCGTGTCTCACTCCATGCTGTGTGATACGAGAAATATCTCTTCATGCAAGAAATAGATAAAAAGCCACAACCATAAGAGAAATTAATTTTAAATATTGTAAGTCTAAGTGAAAATAGATAAACCTTGGAACAAAAAAAATAACTGAATTGCATTAACTCCGAACGGAATAAATAAAACGAGTCCACATAGTTGGCGTCTGCATCTATGCATTCATCCCCGTCATACAAATCAAATCAATTGTCATATCTATTTACAAGTATTAAAGTAAAAAATGAATGCAGATAATACATGTAACACCAGATTGACAATGTACGCCTTATCGCTATGTTCTGCTATTAATGAATATTATAGGCGTTCCCATAAAGTTTAGAGATTATCTTTGACGACACAATGCAAAATGACTGGTGTATGAAGTCTATTTTCAACTCAAGTCTAAATACTTGGGGGTCACTCATACTCATCAGATTTCTTATCACTCAGTTTCGTCTGAGTTTCATGGCAAATTTTGAAATATTTAACTTCTCATTCGAAATTTTCATTCATTTACCAAGCATTTTTCATTTAACATCTCCAACATCAACTCAACACCTTAAAACATTGTAGCCCATCGTCACGCTGGGGCTAGTCCACTGCCACGCATGGGCCGTCAGATGAAGCTTTGCTTCGTCATTCTTTTTTTCATTCGTGTTGTTCAAGTTGAGCGGAGTGGTCTTCTTTCCTAGAAAGAACCGGCTTCTGACAAAGTGCTGGAGCAAAAATTATTTTTCAGATAGTTGAGTGATTTCCCAAGGCCAAAAATTTGATTCTTAGATTTATATTCTTTATAAATATTTTACATTATACCGTATCTGCAGTATCACTGGTTCCATCCATGATAGTTTTTATTGAAATCTACAGTCTGATAGTTCACTATTATTACACTCATCAGACAGGACCTTTAAAAATTTGTTACCTCGGTTGTAATTAACAGATGCTAAAGGTCAACATTGTTCCGCTATTGACCCTACCAGCACATTAAGAAACTTCACATATTGAAGTCCTGTGAAGATCTTATATATATATTAGTCAATATAACCATCAGTAATTTATGTATGATTCATTATGATTATTCCAGCGATTACAATTTCGACATTTACAAATCTATCGTAGGCCATAAAAACTAACTTCATAACATTAAACACATGGTATAATCGCCAGTGAAACCAGTATCACAGTTTTTAATACTATATACATTGAACTATTCTATCACTTTATTACATCAGATCTAAGGGCGTGAGATTTCACCTCTAACGATCGCGCTACTAATTGGATAAACAAGATTATCTTGTGGTAAAATTTCGTCATTTTAGATCTGCCGTTATTGGATGATTGGTTTTTTTATTTAAAACCCAGTGGCAAATATTTCACACATACACAGGAAGACATTACATGGAATATATTCTGCGATTTTGAATAAAATAAAAACAGTGGTATACCGCTGTTCAATAGTCATAAATCGATTAAGCGAAAACAAATCCGGGTCACGAACCAAAACCGAGGGAAACACATCAACTATAAGAGGAAAACAACGGAACAACAGAAACACTGAACTGCTACAAAAACAAACGCCAACATTTATAGAAACGGACTTTTTGATAACAACTGCCATATTCATGACTTGGTACAGGACATTTTAATAAAAAAATGGTGGGTTGAACCTGGTTTTATGGCTAGCCAAACCTCCCGCTTATATGGCAATTGGAAAAAAGATGTTTGTAAAAATTCTTCTGGTCTATAATTGTTTTATCCTGTTTACATTTATTGTTAAACACAAAAACTGAAATACCCAATTATGATATTAACTTAATTAATTAGTATACTGAATCCTCCATAAACGATTTTTTTTCTGTATTCTACATCTTTCATTTCATTAATTTTGAAAAGTTGAAAATTAGAACCTGATCCTCAAAATAAACTTGAAAACGAATTTTAAGTGACAATTTGATAATGACGTGCAAATCTTGAAATTGTAGAGTTACCTACCTTTATCCACAATATTGTGAAAAATTTTCACCTTTGTCGTTTATTTTCAGTCATTACCTATGGTACTTTCAATACTTACTTGGATCTGAAAAGTCAAAAGTACATCTCATTTTATTATATAAACAATATATCGAAGGACGCTCCGTTGTTAGATAAAAAGCATAATTTTTGCATTGAAATCTTCTATAATTAAACTCGAACCACGCCCTCAAATCTGTTCTTGCTTCTGCATTTAAGGTGATACGAAAATGAGGACAAGTGTGACCTATAGTGAGATTTGTTTAGAGATTTTGTGTCCTTTTTCAATACATTATATACTTTCTTATCCATTACAGTGACACCGTTTGTCTTTTGTGCTGTGCTGTGGTCACTCTTCAAAATTTTTCCAGAGTGCGTTTCCATATTTTCATAGTTACTGCGTATTTATTCTTAAATAACTGTGTTATATTTCAATTTGTATTATATCTAACGAAATATTGTATGCAGTTGATCCAAAATGTATTGGCTCTGTTGTACATTAGTTTCCGCCATTTTTTTAATTTGATAAATATCTTGCTCACGTGGACTTGGTGTGACTTGTCATTTACAAAATGTTTGCATCGTAGCCGTATTTTTCAAAGAGATTGCTAGGCCAAACAATGACAGTATTTGTTATACATTTTTAGTTATTTATTTTACATTACCCGGCATCTGTGTGTTTCAATACTATGATACTACGAAAAAAAATTGTAAGCATCAGGTCTAGGGGCGGAACCCCAACCCACCCCAGAAGCTGAACGATTATAGTAAAATTCTTATCAAAAAAAGTTTTATCAAATCATTTGCATGATTTGTAAGCACATGCTTACAATGCTACACTAGTACTACGCTACTGTTGTGGCATTATCGGTATCTTGTAATGAATTATGTAGAAACCGCCGTTTGGGTTTATCAGGAACTTGTATGAAGGTAAATCCAGAAAAGAGCTTTTGACGAATGAAAGTTAAAAAGTTTTCTTATCAATTTTTGTTGTGTAATTTGGTGCATTAATTTACTAACATATTGAAGGCATAACTGTGACTTCAATATAAAGAACGGCAATAATATCGCTGTTGTCATGGGTTTTGTCTAGTGCTTGTAGAGATTTGATGCCATTAATAGATACATATCGCTACACGACTATACGCATGGTTCTCGCTCTGTGGTATGAACAAATGATGAATGGTTGCAGATGCAAATAATAATACGTACTTATATGAAGTTTGAAAAGAATTTCAACCTTTAAAGTATAACTGAAACATTTTGTTGATTAATTTAAAAATCTAATGAAAAATTATACTTACTAACTGGCTCTTTGAAGGCAGAGGGCCATGCATAAGTCGAACCTATCATAAAAAACAGCACGTACGATGCAATGCTTCGAAACATTTTTGATACTTCAGGTTGCTAATGTCGTTTTAAACTGCTTTTAAACACTGTAAATCCGATTCTTCCTGAAGCAATATATAATCACTGAACAACATGTTGACCACAGAAATATACATCACATTAACATTTACCCGCAAAGCATAATGCTTGTGCGACTTAAAAATAAAAATGAATGATTAAAATCCAATAATGTAACTATTCCAGTACAAAACGGTTACACCGGTCAAAATATTAAGTTTTCGGCATATGGTTGATTGAGGTACCGAATTGTTTAGAAATGATATACAACAGTATACAAAACACAACATAGAAAACCAAAGACTGAGCAACACGAATCTTAGGTGCTCCGGAAGGGTAAGCAGATCCTGCTCCACATGTGGCACCTGTTGTGTTGCTCATGTTAGTACAAACCCAGTGATAAGTCTAATTCGGTAGGTCACATTCGGAGAAAGGGGGACTGAATTGTAGTTACGACAATTGGAACATATCAGTTGTCATCTGTGAAACGGATATTCCATAACGGTCAACCAACTCATGATGGCGTCCGTAAAATTTACGAAGGGACGATTTCAACTTCACCACTTGGAACTCTTGGTTTAATAGCTTCCTTTTGAGCAGCAACCCTTGATCAAGGAAACCATGATAGGAAATACAAGTCCTGGAATATCGTATCAACTGGGAGATATATACTCCGTATATGGAACAGGCACAAATTAAGCGAAACTACATACATGTAGACCATATGAACAATCATTATGCCTGATCCAAAAACTTTCCTTAAAGAAGTTGAAAAGCTCAAATGATTGTTATATTAACGTGTGATCTGATCGCTTCCATACCACCTAAAAACATATGTTTTGTTCAGGTTCGTATGTATTTGGCAAAGTTAAAAATTCAAGTAATGTTATATCTATTTCCGATTCTTTATTTTCCTTGTACACTGTAATCATACAACAATTCCTTATGTTTCTACAGGGAGCATTTTAGTTATAAGGTTATTTACAGTAAACACATCAGTAAACTTCAATAAGATGCACTAAAAACTATGTCCAGATCAAATATTTTATCAGCTTGTACAGGCATTGTTTCCGTGTATAGAAAAGCATACTCGAGATGTTACGAACTGGATGATACACAATAAACGACTATATTGCTATGACATTCACCAATGAAATAAGACCTCAAATACACCATTATATAATACGCTTGATTCCAATCGTTATCTTTACGTCAAAGAGTTTGGTTTTAGGTGACGTTATTTGACGTCATTTGTGCGTTTTTTTAGGCAAAAAGTCTACGTCAGCACGTTGAGCTAAGGGATGAATATTCTAATGGGGACAACTTCCTCATGACTGCTTCGATTACGGTTTTCAAATGATAAAATTAATATATTTCTTAAGGCAGGGTTTGATTATGTACATAAGAATAAAGACGGGTGTTTGAAAAATGTCAAGCAGTCACAATTACTTTTTGTCAACACAGGCTTGCTCTGTTTGATGGGATGAAAGAATGACAAACAAACAAATATTTAAGAATTGAAAACTGTCATTTATTATTAAAATGACGAAGAAGCAACACAATGAAAAACATGTTTAATGAAATCAATAAATCATACTTATAAACAACATATATGGTTATAATGACAAAACCTTATTGACCCATTCCATCAAAGATGGGGTTACATTCGCCACAATATTGTTACCCAAAGCCTTCCTTGTAACAATATCCCCCATCCAAGCCAGTGATAAAAAATTCTAAAGAAACAAAGTCCTAACTACCAAAAATAAGAAAAACAAAAAATATCAAAAAAGAAATCACAAATCTAAGTAAAGCTACTTCTATCTAAGAGTATTCATTCTATAAACTAAACGCTAACTATCCCATGATTATAATGTATTAACAGATTCTAAAGAAACTTTTTTTTTTTTTTTTTTTTTTTTTTAAATGGCTGCCGGAGGCCCATGTCCCCATGGCAACCAAAGCCAAATATATACATATATTTACATTGAAAATTCTAATTTTATTTTATTTTATTTATTTTTATTATTATTCGTATATCTATTTTTTATTTTATTTTATTTTGTTTTTATTTTGATCCAGTTAAAAATCTTTTTTATCTGTGATAAACATTTTTGACTGCTTAGTTTAACTTCTTGAGGGTACTGCTATTTTGCATGTTGCATGTTGCGTGTTGCATGTTGAGTGTTGCGAGTTGCGTGTTGCGTGTTGTATGTTGACTTTAAAAAGGATAAAGTTAAATGACATTTTTTTGTACATTAGGGAAGTCTTTTCTTTCTTTTTTGTTTGTTGTTGTTTGATATCTGTTTCAATGATGTCATTCAAAATTATATTACAATACCTTCATTGCATGTTAGATGAATGGTGGTTTGATTTTTAGGGTGGTTAATTAATTATCATGAGAACAAATGTATTTATTTTATGTTTTTACCAGTGTCTGTAAATTTAAAAGTAACAGAATCTGAAAAATAAAGGCTTAACATTTTGAATATTCATTTGTTAAATTTACATGAGGTTCAATGTTTAGGTTTATGTTATAACTAAATGTATATGAGTCAAATTTATTCTGCACTATATTATTCTTGGTAATAAATGGATCAAACATGAAACTATCTATTAACATAGTGTATCCTTCAATTTATTTGAAATTTATAATTAACCTATCAACAAAAGTCATCAAAATTTGGATTCTGGAGACTGATCTATAGTATTAATTAGATGATATGGGATAATTTGATAGACTTTTATGACCTGTTAATTATTTTCAATGACAGAGATTTTCTCTCAACATAGATATTTTTATATTCCTGCCAAAATAAATAAACAATCAAGCTAAAGGTACATAGGTTTGTTCGAATTAACCCCAGATTTAACTTGTGTTTTAAATTACCTGTTGTTTAATCATGAGAATATCAAACTTAATGTCTCTTATTTTTGTTATATTGGTACATATCAGATCATTTATAATATCAGAAGTATTATTCGTTTATACAAATATAAAAAAAAACATTTTAAGAATGCAGTCTGGATTCAAACAAAGCTGATATATATTTTCAAACATGTATGTTTGAACAAATGCTTTACTATTAAAAAGTCTACTTTATACGATTTATTTGTCCATTTGGGTATCTCCTGCCAGTTCCTTCTTATTTGGTAGATATTATAATAGATAATTAGCAATGTTTAATAGTTATTTTTGGAAAATTCAAATTTGCTTACAACAAGGATTTTATTCTGAATGATGGAAAACTGTATAAAAATAGTTATTTTATTAAGTTCATCCTTCAGAAAGCAATAAGTTGCCACTCATTATTATGATTTCATCAAAAGAATACATATTTACGTATCTAAGTTAACATCTACTTACAGTATTTTTTATTGAATTTTTTGTTTATATCTTAAATTCCTTAATTTCTTTTTCAAAACTGGTATAAAAAGATGAAGCACTGTGAAAATTCAATAAACATCAATAGCTTTGATTTCTTTTAATGTATATTATACTCACAATTTGATGCTGCATTGTTAGTTTTATAACTGTATTATACTTGTTGAGAGAGATGAGACTTTAAAAAATATTGAATTGAATTGATTCAAATTTCATATATACATATTTGTTATCTACAAGTTGGATCATATATACTAATTCATAGTTCAAAAGAGACACATTCATTAGCATAGGCGTATCAAACGGGGATAGCTAATCAGAGGCGCATCCAATTTTTCCGAAAGGAGGACAGGCCTGCTTCATTTTTCTAATCTGTATTTCAATAAATCGTTGTCAAATCTTATCCCAGCACCCCAACTCCATAGATCACAAGGTGTTTCGAACATCTATTTAGACCAATTAGAATTAACTAATTGACCATGGCCATGTCCATCGTCAGGAGCCCAAGCCATTGTATAGTGACACTTATTATAAAAATACTGTAATTTTTATTAGGGGCTCGACACCTTGTGATCTGTTTGACTAATACTTTTCTATACTCTTTTTCTATTTAACCATGTTTATCAATTTAACAAATATGGTATAGAATATATTTTCATAATCTGCAACATGTTAATTACCCAGAGTTGCTGATGTTACTGTTTCTTTCAAGTTTGTATGTTAACGGAAAGCAAAAAGAGGTCTTTTATCAAATTAAAGTTTTGCCTCTTCGGCATCCTTTAATTTATCCCAGTGTTTTAAGATATTGTTCTTTATGTGTGATTTCTGTCTTGAAAACACTGTAGAGAATATCAAGGGAGGCGACTGTAATACAGATTTGGGTTTTACCATTAATGTGTCATTTCTTTGTTTTGCAGTCAATTCCTGCATAACAGTTTTAATTTCATTTTTTGGATATCCCCTTTTAATAAGGTGTTCAGAAAATAACGCATATTTTGTTTGCAAATCTACTGGATCGTTCGTACATCTCTTAAAGCGAAGCATTTCTCCTTTAATTATGCCTCTGAAAGTAGAGGGTGTGTGCCATGAGAACCTCTCTGAAGTACTGATAATTTTCAGTCTTTAATTAATTAGTTATCTCAACACTCCTGAAAATAGCAAATTATTGTCAGCAATTAAATACATATTAGAGATAAGATATAGTTTACAAACTTAAGCTCAATGACAGTATTTCAAACTTTAATTAAAAAAAAAAGATATTAAAAAAAAAGTGCAGACTCCATGATGTATGTCAAAGACATAAAGGTGAAAATACGATGACTGATAATTTTTTTTTTACATATTTTGTATATCCAAATTTAAAATTCTTCCAATTTTACAAAAAATATAAAAAAAATAATCGAAGATCATGCAACACGCAACACGCAACATGCAACACGCAACATGCATACTAGTCAATTTCCTTCTTGAAAGATAACAGCATTACCCGCATAGTTTATTACAGTGCGTAAAGTTAATCACCATCTTTATGAGATTCCTTAAATTTAATGACAGCAGGTCGACCAAGAGTTCACCCCATCGTCAGCTGCAATGACAGAAGGGGATGATTCATTACTGTTAGTTTTATAATTTCTCTGAGAAATTGAAAAATATGGTA